CCAGCATTTTGTTGTTGTTGTGTCTGATTCTCTGTGACCCCATTTTGGGGTTTTCTTGGCAAAGAGTGGCTTGCCATGCCCTTCTCTAGTTCATTTTATAGATGAGGAACTGAGGAAAAAACAGGGTTAAGTGACTTGTCCAGGGTGACACAGCTAATAAGCATCTGAAGACAGATATGAACTCATGAACATGAGTCTTCCTGATTATATGCCCAGAACTTTATCCACTGCCCACCTAGCTGCTATTCCCAACACAGCATATACAAAATATCTACAAGACTGCAGGTATCTGTCATGTAACTGGTAAGGCATAAAGTTCTATTTGTTTTTGTCCCAATAGAGAAACCTAAGTCTTTTCAGGGTGGAACTGGAAGGAACCCTTATGGGCCATTAAGTACAATCCTAACATTGTACAGATGAGGGAACTGAAGGTCAGAGACTATATGTGTCTTGCCCAGGGTCACCCAGTTAGGATGTGGGACTGACTGACTGGTAAGTCACTGAACATCTCTAGGTCTCTATTTTCTCATCTACAGCATAAAAGGGTTGGACTAGGTAACATCTAAGGTTCCTTTTTGCTTTACATCACATGATCCTGATATCTGGATGGTCTTGCGTTCTAAGAGACAGCTTAAATAATAATAACAATTACAACAATACCTCTTTAATGATCTCATTTACAAAGCGGTTTCATACATTACTTCATTTAATCCTCACATATTATTCCCATTTTACCTGTGTTGGCTAGGTGATGAAGTAGACAGAGTGCTGAACTGGGAGTCAGGAAGACCTGAGTTTGAATCTTGCTTCAAGTACTTACTAGCTCTGTGACCCCCAGGTAAGACATTTAACCTTTCACAGGTTTAGTTTCCTTATCCATAAAATGGATATTATAATAATAATAGTACCTACTTACCTCATAGGGTTGGTATTAGGATCAAAGGAGATTATATGTATAAAATGCTTTACAAACCATAAAGTGTGATATAAATGCTAGGTAGCTAGTAGTAGTGGTAGTGGTGGTGGTGGTGGTGGTGGTGGTGGTAGTAGTAATAGTAAAGGTCCAGGAAGGATGAATAATTTGCTCATGCTTACACAGATAAGAAGTGTTGGGGCCAAAATTCAAATGAAGGTCTCTCCTGATTTTAAGAATGTATTTTCTCTTACATCACACTGTCTTTCACCTTTAAAAGTTCCCAAAAGTACATGAAAATAAGTCATACTTAAAAAAGGTTGAGTTAAAACTGAAATATTCTACTTCACATTGAGAAATATTTATTCTGTGATTTCACAATTACACTTGGAATGAACCTACAAAGATGTGTAATAGACAACATGAATTATTAATAATTTGAAGAGGCAAAATGTATCGCCTTTGAAGCTCAGTCTGGTTCAAATCTTGAAAAAAAAAAACACCAATACAAAAGATGAGCTATACAGATATGTGAAAGAAAAAAAAGTGCCTAGATCCTACCCATCTTTCTTAAAAACAGCAATTTTTCCAGTGGGAAAAGAACTTGGTCTTTACATAAAAGGTCAGTCTATATTATGTGAGAACCATTTGGGTAGCAGCAATATGAAGGAAAAATTAATAATTACAGGTCTAGTAAACAACTATCTACTTTCTCTAACTGTCCTGGTTAAAGAGGGAGAAAAACCAGAAGAGTGAAAGAAAACATTTTTTCCTAAGAATTAAAAAATGTCTTACAATTAGATTGTAGGCTCCTGAAGAACAAGAGTTTTGTTCTGTTTCCTTTGAATTCCCTCTCAGTGTCCAGAATTGTTGATAGACATAAGGAATGACTTACGCAAATAGCAACAAACACTTGTTGAATGAAGGAGTGAATTAAAGAATGGACATTTATTCCTTTATCCTTAGTTATCTGTTAATGCTATTTCCACTGACATTCACATTCTCGACAAATTCCAATTTAAGGAATGCATGCATACTCTGCAGTCTCAACTGGACATAATTAAAAACCTCCATGGATACTCTTCTCTGCATCTGCATTCCTCCTGACATCATAACAACATCTGCATCCACATCTGTAGACATTCTAATCTTGTCCAAACTAAATCCTGCAACATGTGATCTTCTTTCTGGCAGCATCTCAAAGATTATAAAATCATGAGCTTAGAGCTGGAATGGTGCCCTCTGAGATCATTTAGTCCAACTCCCTTATTTTGCAGATGAGGAAACTAAGGCCCAGAAGGGCTAAATAACTTGCCCCAAGGTCAAACAGATAGTAAAAGGCAGAGTTGGAATTTAAATCTAGGTCATCTGACTCCTCCGGGGCATTGGATCAATGCAGATCCTCTGGAAAAGGTGTAGACATCCTTCACATCATTCACTGTACCTTTTTACTCATTTCCAACAGACAAGAAGAGGAAAGGGATACCCTCCTGCCAGAGAGGAACAGCTACAGTGTATTTATGGGCATGAGGGATACCAGGATGCTAAACTTAATAGCTGGAAGAGATATCACAGTAAAAATAAGACCTGTTGATTAAGTATTAATATTATATTATACAATCTCACAAAATTAGAACTTAATATTGTTTGACTCAAATATGACATGATAATAAAAGGTATTAGGAGGCAGAGAATGGTTTAAGCCACTCAGTCACAAAAAGCTCTCTCTTTTGCTACAGGACACGCCATCTCCCGACCTCGGGGCCATTCCCCATGCCTGGTCTCTGTCTATTCTCATCTGGGCCTCTTGGCTTCTGACTACTTGCAAGTCTCAACTAAAGTCATATTTTCTACAGGAAGCCTTTCCCAGTACATCCTTAATGTTACTGCCTTCCCTCTGAGATTGTCTCTAGTCTATCCCCTGTATATCTTGTTTGTATATGGTTGTTCACATGTTGTCTCCCCCATTAGACTGTGAGCTCATTGATAATGGGGACCATCTTTTTATGCCTTTCTTTTTATTCCCCAGGGCTTAGCACAGTGCTTGGCCCACAGCAGGCACATAATAAACACCTGTCGCCATCATATGTAATATTTTTAGCAATGACATTAATGAAGGATTATGCTTATGAAATTTTTAAAAAACACAAAGCATGTCAGGTGATGGAATTATCATCCCGAAAAGACCTTCATAGGCTAGAACAAAGAACTAAAGCTAATAAAATGAAATCTAACAGGGATTAATGTAAAATTCTATAGTTTTGGTACAAAAATCCAACTGTACAGGTACAATACTTGCTACTGAAAAGTTCAAGTCTAGGCAGGATGATAAGGGGATGCAAAGGAATTCTGAAAGTATCTTCATTGAAGGAACTGGCCATACTTAACCTGAAGAAGGGAAGACTAATAGGCAATATAACAATCATTTTAAAATATCTGAAGGACTGTTTATATATAAGAAGTAGACTTATTTTGGCATCAGAGGGCAGAACTGAGAGGAAGAGGTAGAGATTACAGAAAGGTAAATTTTGGCTTTCTGTAAGAAAAAGCTTTCTAATAAATAATTCAAGCTATCCAAGAGTACAATGGCCTACCTTGGGAAATAGTGAGATTTCTGTGTCTGGGAGTTTTCAAGGGGAGGCTGCATGACTCGTGTTGGGGATTTTATGGGCAGTTGAGGAGGGGAATCATTCTTTGGTATGGTTTGTACTGGATGAACTCCTTTCCAGAACTCTGACGTTTTACACTGTTGTGAAATCTTCTGAAAACAAACATTATAAATGAAAAACTTATACCTTTATCTTCTTGTTTGTTTGGTTTGTTTTTTTTTCCACACTCCATAATCCTAACACATTCTCTGAAGTTTAAAGTGGAGGGAAGTATCACTTGTTTCTAGGAAAAGGTGAAACAAATCATTTCTATGATTTCTATTATTAGGCTTAAGACTAGACTGTCTTTCCCTTCCCCTGTTCCCGACCACATATTTCTGCTTACTAACACAGACAGTACATGCACTGTTGTTTTGTTTGTTTGGGAGGGGAGGCTAGAGGGAAGGAACAGAAAGGTTTTTCTCATGTGTAATCATCTATAACAAGGATTACTTTATGAAGCTATATCTCCTGAAGGTGACTGGCACTGAAGCTTCAGTTAATAATAAAAGTGATTTAAGTTGGAATCAGAGGGTGAATAATTGGATATCAAGAATAATTATGTTCACAGTTCACTTGTCTGATTCCTTGACAATCCTGGTTTAGAGCCATCTCCAGTAAAGCCTTTATTGATCACAAATCTTAATGAACATAATTTTGGGGGGGGGTGAGTGTACTCAACTTGAAGAGAAAAGACAAAAATGGGGAGGTTATCAAGGATTTATTTTAACAAGAAAATCCCAGGAAATGTCCTGGGGTCAGTAAAGATGTAGCCCAATCTCTCACACACATATATTACCTATCCACAGACACATAGTACAATCAAGATTGATGCTCAAAGTAATGACCTTGAGGGGCATTCACTGCAAAAGTGAGGACTCATCAGAGAAAGATTTAATTATGTTCAGTGTAATCCCTTTACTGAAGGGATCTGTCTTCTTAGGAGGTTTCCAATGACAATTTTGAGGCATAATGATACTGACAATAATAACATTTTAAGGTTTTATGAAGCACTGTTCTTACAGCAACCCTGTGAGGTCAAAAGTAAAACCAAAGGTCATGCTAAATTAAAAACTCCTTTGAAACTTAGAAGGGACATTATTTAATCGAGGTCACTTAACCCAGTACCCTTATTTTATAGATAAGGAAACCAAGGTCCAAGAAGATAAGTGGTCTGTCCAAGGTAACAAAACAAATTAATTGCAAAAACAAACCCAACATGAATGAACACATCTTCACTTAATTATTCTTAAAAATGAACACACTTGAAGAAAAGAAATGTATGAAAACAAAACAAAATAAAACACCCTTCATTACCAAAGTGGTTAGCACATGTTAAACAAAGGTTGATTAGGAAGCAATCTTCCTCAGGGTCACAGTGGCTATTTGCTAAGAAGATTCCATTGCATTTTAATAAAGACATTTACTCAGATACTTACTTGACCTTAGTCACAACGAACAAATCATTAAACAGAAAGATATGTCGTTCCTGACGCTGCAAGCCCCTTTTGAGTTCAACACGGCCGTCAATCAGCAGGGTCCTGCTGGAGCCCATAAAAGAATTAAGAAATACACATGGGTCCAAGTTGGCAGATGGACTCTCCCTGTAAAAGAAGAAACAATGTTGTAATATTTAGCAAAATGGTCCAAAGTATGATGGAATTTTATAACACAAACTAAGCTAAATCTAGCTGCCAGTATTAGCTCAGTATCTCTTGACCCAGTCCTCGAAACACTGCCATAGATCCTATGGCTGGCTCCTAATGAACAAATTCCACCCAGGTAACCATTTGTCCCCAAGGTAAAATTTCCTTTCAATAAGCTTCTAACTCTTCTTACTCTGACTCCTTTACCCTCTTACGATCACTTATACCTTTTGCATGAGTCCCTATTTTTTGTTTTTTATCCTGGGTTAGTTATTTGTGTGAGTTTTTCTGATGAAAATGGCAGGGGAATTATGGGGCACCGGTATTGCTTGATGGTAGAATCAAAATGCTATGACAAATATCTTGATCAGTGGCTTCTATCATGGAGGCCACTTAAAGAATGTTGTTATACAGCATCATTGATTATGAGAATTCTGCATTCTATTGATCAATCAATAAACATTAGTTATTATTTATAAACAAAGTACCATGCCTTATGCTAAGTGCTAGGGATACAAAATGAGGGAAAAGATAATCCCTGCCCTCAAAGTGCTTATGATCTGATGAACAAAGTGACCGAATACTATAAATCAATGACCCCAACATAGTCATAATTTTGCAATCCTTGTTATGTTACATTCCATAATGGAACTTTACCCATAGTTGCCAATGACTGACAGTTTGATTCAATTCAACAAGCATTTACTGCTGACCTCCTATGTGCAAGGTATTGTGCCAGGGATATGGAAACAAAGATGAAAGTCACTGCCCTCAAGGGGCTTATAGTTCCAGTAAATTTTTTAAAAATAGGGGGAAAGGAAATACAAAGTAATTTTTCTTTCATACATATGAAAACTAAAATATGCACAAACTAAATACAAAGTCATTTTGCACTACAGAATCAAAGCCCACTGTTACAGTAAATCTTCACATCTTAAAAACTCCAAGCAATAATTTTTAAATGCAGAGATCAGGACATACTTGAGCTCACCACTGAGCCTACAAAGGATTTGACTCTAAGAATTAATCATACCATAGAAGCTGTAAGTTTGCCTTGTAGTTTTAGAGTTAGAAGGGCTATCTAGTTCAATGACCTTGTTTTATTTATTTATTTATTTGCTTTTTGGTGAAGCAATTGGGGTTAAGTGACTCACACAATTAGTAAGTGTCAAGTGTCTGAGGTCACATTTGAACTCAGGTCCTCTTGACTCCAAGACTGGAGCTCTATGCACTGCACCACCTAGCTGCCCCTAATGACCCCATTTTAGAGATGAGGAAACTGAGGCCCAGAGAACTGAAGTGATTTGTCCAAGGTCACACAGAGAGTAAGGATCAGACACAGGATCTGAACACTGGTATTTCTACACTGAGGAGCAATCCTCTTTTCACTGTCTCATACTCCCTGCCCTCCTAAGTACTCCTACCATCAATGCAAATGTCAATCTTTCTACTCTTGAGAAGATGCTTTTATGAATTGCTGTTCCCTCAAATAATTCATCACCCAGCTCTATCTAGAAAGTGATGAGTCTCTATGAATTTAGCTAGGTTGGCCTTTGATATGGACAGCGCCATCAATACCATCCTAGAAGCCTTTATAGCTTGTGTTCTGTGGGTATAGCCTTCAAAAACCTAAGGCCAACTCCATGCTCCATAGAGGCCTCCCATGGAGGAAGAGCCCCCAGTCAGGACATGTATATGGCACACTGCTTATGTTGAATCACAGTATATCACTGTAATTATCCTCAGGATCCATGTGAGACAAGTAAGAAGGAGCAGGAGCTTGTTTTCCTTTTAGAGATGAGGAATCTAAGGCTTAGAAAATTTGTAGTCAACCAATAACGCCACAAACAACATCCATGGAAGCTGCCACCCTGGGCAGGCCCTCATCCTCTCACTCCTGGACTCTTCCAACAGCTTGCTGGTCCCTGTTCCTGCCTCACTTCTTCCTCCACTCTAGTCCCTCCTGTACTCAGGTGCCAGAGTGTTCTTACCTAAAGGGCAGGTCTGACCGTCCTATACCCTCCCCCACAATAAACTCCAGTTGTTCTCTATTACTTCCAGTATCAAATAAACATTCTTTCTTGGCCTTTTAAATCCTTTCTTAACAACAGCTAGCACTTATGTAGTACTTTAAGGTTTGCAAAGTGCTTCCAAAAATCATTTCATTTTGTTCTCATAACAACCCTGGTAGATAGGTGCTATTGTTATCCCCATTTCACTAATGAGGAAACTGAGTCAAACAGAGGCTAAGTCACATAGCCACCAAACATCCTAGGCAGTAATTGAACGCTTCCGTTCTTGACTGCAAGTACAAAGCTCTATTCACATGCCCCTCAGCAGCCTTGTCATAACCTGGCTCCTTCCTGCCTCTTCGGACTTCTTTTTACTGGCTCATGTCTGGAACACTCTCTCCCCTCCTCATCTTTACCAATTTTCTCAAAACAAAATTCAAATTCCACTTTCTCCGGGTCTTTCCCTGTCCTGTTCCCCTCCCTGCTCCTCCACCAAGCCATCTCATTCCTATTTACCCTATGTATTTCACATACATTTTGTATGGACACAATCATGTGCATATTATTTCTGCCACTAGAATGTAAGGATTTTGAGGACAAAAACCATAATTTTGCCTTTTTATGCATCCCCAGCGTTTTAGCATAGTGCCCACCACATACATAATAGGCCCTTAATAAAGGTTTGCTGATGATAAAGATAGTCAGAACTGCACTAATCAACCTAAATTCAACTCTACACGGGGATAGAGATGCTGGCTAACATAAAACAATCTAATCTCATACCAGAATACTTAAAAGCTGCTTTTCTGCAGCATTAATACAGAGGATACAATTACCCAGCATCCACACCTAACTTGGAAATACTGGCTTCTGTTGAGTCAGGGGACTGGCAGGCTGATCTATCAAGTATAAACAATCTCAAAAGATATAAACGACCGAACTGGGACCACCCTGGCAGTTCCTGGCACAGTTGTCATTCTTGCCTTCTACCTAAAAACAAATAAAGGGGCAGCGAGGTGGCGCAGTGGATAGAGCACCGACCCTGGATTCAAGAGGACCTGAGTTCAAATCCGGCTTCAGACACATAACACTTACTAGCTGTGTGACCCTAGGCAAGTCACTTAACCCCATTGCCTAACAACAACAACAAAAACAAAACAAAACAAATAAACAAACACCAGAAACAAAAACAAAAAGACAAACTAATGTGCACAGATGGCCAAACTGGGGCTAGATTTGAGTTTGGTTTGTGAGGGGCTTGCTGAGCTAGGAAATCTCCACAGCTGGTGCTGAGAGGATCAGAAGCTGAATACCCACTAGCCTCAAGACAGCAAATTGCCACCACTAGATTAATTTTTAATATCCATATTTAGCTTCATAAACTTTGACCCTTATTCCTCTCCAATTGGGGCAAAGCATGGGATGAGAGAGGGACTCAAACAATTTAGTTTATTCCACTGCCTGGGGCCAAAGAGCTTGAAAATCTGTAGCTCATTATGGTAGTGATTACTGTGAGATGCTGACCCCAATTTTCCCCCTTGGAGATAAGTCCCAAGAGGGTAAAAGGAAATGAAGTGTAGGCAAAGGTTGGTAAGGATGATGTCAACCACTTACCAGAAGCAGTGCCTTCACCCCATCCAATCTCTGAGGCAACCCTGTCCCTTAAAAGAACCCTTCTGTAGCTGTAGGATAACCAAACAGACATGGCTCATTGGGAGATGGTGTGGGGCTGTGGTTGGGGCTATGGGTGTGGGGAAGTAAAGGAGAAGAAGGTATTGGGGGGAAGAAAGACCTATTTTGCCCAGTCCTCTCGGTTTATACAGGGTCCATGTTCATGAGCCTCCCCAGGCAGCCATGGGGGAGCTTTTTTGTCATTATTTGGAGCAGGAGCTCTTAACCATTTTTTTTGTGTCAGGAACCCCTCAGACAGTCTAGTGAAGCCTATGGATTCCTTATCAGAATTCAAATTCATGAAATAAAATCCATATAATTGCCCAAAGGAAACCAATTATACTGAAATATATTTATCAATATTAAAAATAAAAGTGCATAGACTCCAAGTTAAGAACCCCTGAGTTAGAGTCACATGGTAGGATTTCAAGCAGTTTTCAGTCAGTCAATAAACATGGATTAAGCACCTACTAAGTGCCAGACAACATTCTGAGTATTACTATGCTTTGTATATATACTATGCTTTTACTTAAGGTATGTTGTCAAGGAGAGGGACTGGACCTATGATTTCATTACTTTGGAGAGCTCCCCAGCAAGAAACACCATCTACCATCACAAGTCTATTGTTCAGTCATTTCAGTGGTAGCTGATTTGTCATAACCGCATTTGGGATTTTCTTGTCAAAGATACTGGAGTGGTCTGCCACTTCCTTTTCCAGCTCATTTGATAGATGGGGAACTGAGGCAAACAGGGTTAAACGACTTGCCTAGGGTCACACTGCTAGTAAGTGTCTGAAGCCAGATTTAAACTCAGGAAGACGAGTCTTCCTGACTCCAGGCCTGACACTATATCCATCTCACCACCTAACTGTCCAAGCAACTATGTACAAACAAGCTATACAGAAGATAGATAGGAAAGCATTAACACAGGAAAAGCACTAGAATTAAGAGGATCAGGAAAAGCTTCCTGTAGAAGGTGGAATATTAGCTGGGACTACCTGAGCTTTGGATAGGTGGCTCAGTGGATTGAGTGCTGGACTTGGAGGAAGGAAGACCAGAGTTTTAAATCTGGCCCTGATACTTACTAGCTGTGCGACCCTGGGCAAGTCACTTAACCTCCGTTTGCCTTAATCCACTGGAGAAGGGAATGGCAAACCACTCCAGTATCTCTACCAAGAAAACCATATGGTCCACAGGTTCACAAAGAGTTAGACAGACTGAACAACAACAACCACAGTTACTTGTATGACCTAAGCAAGTCATTTACCTTGCTGTT